GACGCCATGACCAATATTTATCAATTAAGTTTCAGTGGGGGTAGGGGGGTTTGGAAAAAAACTTTATAGGAATTAAGTTTTTTATCCGACATCGATCTTTTGACGTCGTCCCTAATATAAATATTAACAGTCTATAGCCAAGATTGTTTGGATAATAAAAAGCAAAAAAAAAAAATTCACTCCCAAGTGCCCACGAACGTGCATCTCTACCTTAAATGTCTTCCTTATTTGGAAATTGTGCATCACATTTGCTTCACATTCAAACACTTTCCTTTCCTTCATACACATAAGCGCTATCAGTGTGTGATGGAAAAAGAATACCGTGCAAACATTCACACAGCACGAAATGTCCTTGTTGTCATTTTGGGCCATTATCTCTCATTAAATTATTATTACAAGAAGAAAAAAGATGTATAATCATAAAGTTATCAGGAAAATACCGCAAATTATGCACTCAGGCAGTACGGGAACGCATCAACCTCCACTATGTGTCAGTCAATAAGATCACCAGACTGCCTTTATGTATACTTTGCGGTATTCTCATAATAACGTCATATAATCTACTCTTAGCACCATAAAAACTTTGAAAACGAGTATATGTCATATTCACTTACCCTGTGTTATCTGGATCTAACATTGTTAACAGTGTACTTCCAGTAGTAGATGTCAATATAGATGGAGTTGCCACATGTAAAGGGTCTTCCATGGAACTACTCATTAATGACATTCTCATTTTGGCTTTCTGAGGAGATGCAATCATACGTAAAGACGGCGAGATAGAAAGTCCTGACGCAGAGCCATGTATGAATAAGCCATGCACAAATTCTTCAAAACTAACTTGGCCATCTTTGTCAACATCTAATTTTTCAAACAAATTATTCAGTTCTTCTTTGTTCATTTCATCCATTCCAATATGTTCACAGACAATGGCAAGTTCTTGAACATTTAAGAATCCATTCTGGCCAACCGCGACTTCGTCCCATATAGCTTTGACTTGTACTTCATCTGTAGGGCTGGTTACTTCCAACAAACTCATTGAGGCATTCAATTGCCCTGTAATACAATCAATGAGATATTATGAAGCACCATTTATCTGTTTTCAGTTTGAGTGCGGAATATAACAATTATAAAAAATAAATTATGTGATTTAATATGTAGTTTTACAATGACCACATTAATTTCTATTTGTTATGATCAATATTAGAATTGGGGGGGTTGTACATGTTTGTCTTTGTTTCCCCTGCCTCAACTAACACCAATCAGAAAATAAACTAATACAATGCCAAATGTATTTGACACGGCTAAAGTCATACCCTCAAGACAAATATACTCCATGCCGTAGTAAATGTGTTGGTTTTATGTTAGAAATCAGATAATTTTGTAAACCACCCAAGCTGTACA